CATGGACAAAATCAATAATCGACCAAGAGTGAAGGTGGTATTTTGGGTTCGAAATCTTGAACTCCTTTTTTTATAAAAAGAGTACTATTCTATTTTATTTTTTTGGATTAAGAATAGTAAAATGTTGAAGAGATCAAATTTGAACTAGTCAAAGTCCAATTTTTTTTAATGGGCACATAAAAATGTTATGTATTTCTATTAAAATAGGATTCCACATATTTATGTATACTAACATAAGTAATATATAAATATATATGCTTGAAATTTTATTATGTAATTTAAATAATAAAATTATTTATTAATCTTTGTAGATGTATAATTATTCTCAAGTCTCAACACAAATACCATTAATTAGAATGTAGATATCATTTTTCTGAGACGAATACATAGTCCACCAAACAAGGCCTTATAGTTGGAGCTAGTCAAGTCAATAAGGGTGGAGTGTCACGGATTTGAAATGAAAAAATAATATTGATATAAACTATAGTTTTAAATCCGCCAATGACGCACAAGAATGAAAAGCAAAGTGGAATAGTAAAGAAAAAAAGTTGAATAGTGGATCCATGTATAGCAGGCAAAAGTCAATTTTGGTCTCTCACTATATATTTAATTAACCGATTTTTCTTATGTAAAAATTCATTTATTTGGACAATTTCATTTTAAATGACGACAGTATATAATGATTTGTGGTAGGACTAGGAGTAAGCAAATCGGATTCATCAACCCGTTGAATCTGTAAAATTTGATAAAAAAATCGTCTCGCTTGAACGGGTGGATCGATCTATCAATATGATTGGATCTTGAGATGGAGAAAATCAGCGGGTTTTGGTCTAAGACGGGTTACATTAAAAAAAAAACCATGAAACACGTCTTGCCTGTAATTTTGTTTATATTATGTAGTATAATAAATTAATTAGGATAAATTACAAACACCCTTTGAGGTGTGGTTAAATTACAAATACACCCCTCTTGTTGGATAATTACAATCACCCCTTCAACTCCTCAAATTTAGTGAAATCTTCGAGATTATATGGAATATTATCACTTTTGTACCCGTTTTATCCCATTCAAACTCTACATTATGAAGCAAGATGATCATAATATGTGATTTTTAGCTTGTATATATCAGTTTGTAGTGCATCGGAAACTGTATTTTTACACAAAGCGAGTACAAGCTAGATGATTATGTTGAATTTGGCACCATAAGGGTGGTGTAAGAAAAAATCATAGTTGAGGAGGTAGTATCCAAACAAGAGGGTTTTTTTATAATTTGACCATATCTCAGGGAGGTGTTTGTAATTTACCCTAAATTAATAATATATACTACACATCAAAAGTTGTATCTATAATAACAGTACCGTATCGTTTTGTCTATATTATCTATTTATTTTAAATCTTGTCTAAGTCTTGATTTAGTTATTTTTTCAATGAATT